TGGAGTTCAGACGTGTGCTCTTCCGATGTGTGTAAATCTGTAGTCACTTTTTACGCATTTAAACGCGTGTTATATTTTTACACATTTTATCTGTGTTTTACACAGTTAAATGCATATTTTTTACACGCTTACACATATTATTGTAAAATTAAGCGTGTAAAAATATGAATTTATCTGTAAAACACAGATAAAATGTATAAAAATATAACACGCGTTTAAATGCGTAAAAAGTACAAATTTACACACTTTGATTTGGAGTGTAGCTAAAGATTTTTAATAACATAAATCTACTATAAAATTTAATATTTAAATTAATATCTTTTTTTAAATTTATATTTTATTGTAGATTTATATTCAAAGAAAATATGCAACCATATCAAAGTCTATCGTTTCTGATACCTTCATCATTTTCAGTTAACTTCATTTCTCACGTTCCAATTCTCCCTGGATCTTTTAATTGCGGCACTCTCATATACCTTTCCATCTTTGGTATATTTTGTATTGTACTACTCGTTTTATGTTAAACCCGATGAAGTAAGTTGACTTATGTGTATCCCATCATTTCTTCTCGTTCAACAGTCAGAAGTCATTTGAAATAATTCGACCATAGATAAGGCAAATTTGGAACGATATGCGTGATAGTTGAAGTTTTCTGAAAAACGGAGCACAGCATAATGTGGCAATATTCATCTTACGGTGAACAATTCATTATATTATTATCATGTATGAGAATTATAAAAAAGAGAGCACATAGCTAACCAGTAACATATCACTTTCCACATAAATCTTCTCTTTCTTTATATTATATATTAATATTGTAATTATTATAATAGCTACCACTAAACATTCTGCCTCACAATCTTGGAAGCTCGCGTGAAGTTCTTTATTTCTGAAAGATTTTTAATCACAACTTACTTTCTCATTAACTATTTTCATTTTCTGCCTAAAACCTGCTATTAATAATCGTGCACTAAGCTGTCTACTTCGCAAGCATTAAAAACAGCTATTAAACTAATCAGTACAAAAAATATTTTAATTATAGCGACTATAATCATAAGTCTCCTTCTGTATGCATTCGTGGAACTGTTACCGACTATTCTTGATCTAATTTTTTCATTAAATGAAACTCGCCCACATGAAGTCCATGCTTCACTAAAATATTTTGTCGATAAGAAAACATACTTTTATCCAATTTTATGTTACTGGTTACTTTCCATATCTTTCGATGACTTCACAATTTTAGCCATTGATACGCTAGAAGTAGCATATATCGAAAATATTTGTGGATTGTTTGAAATCGCCAGGTAAGGTTTAAAATTTAATACGTAAATTAATGATTTCTGTTTATAATTGAAATAACAAAAATTAAGTAATAACATTTTACACACTTCAGACAATGTTCAGACAATGTACTAAAAAAATTCATATATTTTAAATATTGGCGGTCTAGTTTGGGCTTCAGTAGAAGGTTTTGTTAAGGTAAACAAAAGTGACATATGATAAACATGAAAGAATCACAGATTATTAACGATTAACATTTAATAAATTTGTCTTACAGCTCGTAAGCATGTCAATGTCTTATTTCACGGTAATTTATATTTTACTGTAACAAAATATAGACAACACGAGTGAATTTGCTGATTATAAATAATACGTAGATGATAAAAGATGTTATGTAAAGTAAACAATCTGCACATGGTAAAGAACACTAATTGTTGTAATTCATAAGTAGATTGTTATCTTATTTTATGATATTTTATTTTACATGATAATAAAAATGATTACAGATAATACAATATATGTGAGCATATATGTGAGAGAAATTAACACTGACAAAAATATTCAAATATATTATACATAATCTTTTTTATTAATGCAATCATTAAAAATGACTAGAATTGATTGTATTAATAGCGTTTTAATTGTCTTATTTTATCTCGCGATATAATAATAATTCTCTCCTTAAATGAAATAAATTCAAAAAATAAAAAAATGTAGATATCATGTGAGTTCAATAGCACTGATATTTTACAATAAAAAAGCAGCACAAAAATAATTTGAAGTAAGATATTCTATAAAAACAAAGTAGATGTGTCAAGATAGCACTTCTAAGTCATAAAAAACTATTCTTAATACAGTCCTAATCAAAACTATAATTTGTTCTTCGTGTCAAAGAATTTAATAAATAAAGTATAATTACTTAAAAATGTCTCGATTCTATATATACATGCCACACATTTTTTTATACTTGTACGCACCTGTGTTTCTAATTTCTTCTCGTACATAATTATTTTAATTCACTTTCACGTTCATAAAAATTTACACTCGGAATGATAAAATAAATTAAAATATTGTCTGTATACATATTGATATATAGATATGCGATGTGTCCTCGACAATTTATCAAAGTACAAAAGTTATATGTCATTATCGTTGTGTTCTATTGTGGAGAAAGAAGAGTTTTGTCGAATGGCTGATGCGAGAATGAATCTCTTCAAAGTCGATGGCAGCAACACTACGCAAATGCGCTTGCGCCAACTCCGAAGGGAATGGGTATAATTGCTTATAAAAAATTACTAGTAAGACGAGATTTTTTTATACCCAACATTTACGTGACTTATGTTTCCTTCGCTTTGTTTGTATCTCGCTGTATCAGCGATAGCCAATGAAAGAGCTTGGTTTTCTTTTTTTCTTCGCCATGTAGGCATAGACAATGCTTAAATTGCTGCAACTGTCACTCACTCTTTGACATTGTATCTCCCGCTGTCTATTACGTGCCTCGAAAAAATCCAGGAAAAAATTGGCTAGTATATTAAATAAATCATTACAGTGGAAAGAGTGCACGTGAAGTAAAATCTGCTCTCTGAAATCTGCTCTTTGAAATCTGCTCTTGCAGAGCCGCTTCCCATTCGTGTCTCGACCATTGCAAGAGAATGTACATATTCGACGATCACTATTATAAATTGAACCAAACTCTTTTGAAGTATTGCGGCTTGTGGCCTTATGGAAAAACTAAATTTCAGCGGTTTCGTGCAACGTGCTTCTATATTTTACTCATTTCTCATATGATTGTTGAGGTAATTCTATTTTTTTCTGTAATATTTCTCTAGTAAAATTTAACAAGAATAACAGAATGAGACAATTTGTTCATTGTTTCAAAACATATGTATCGATATTTTAAAAATTATTTTAAGAACTTTCAGAGGAAAGAATTAGTCTCTCAGAGAAAACTATATATTTATGTCATAATAATTTTATCTCTCTCTATTATCTTTTTTATAGGACGTCCCAAAACTTCATTTTCTTTAAGAACAGATTTTTGTAAATATTATACTTGCATATAGATTATAATCCTAATACAAAAATATAGAGGTTCTAATACTTAGTTATAGTTTTCAAATTATTAACGATTAAAATTCACAAATCATAGAGCTGCCATTTTATGCGCTCAAGCACAGTGATATGATAAGTGCCTATTTGGGGACAACCTTTTTAACAATAAGATTATACGCATTAATATTTTTATTAAGTAATTCCATTTCTAAAAAAAGGCATGACGTTATTGATCATCGTATCTATCGAAGTTTATTGTCATTTTTCCGATACCGATTGGTTCTCTCATTGCGCTTACTTCATGAGCGACTGTCGCATATTTTGACAGTTGTATCGAAAATTAATAGTCCAATACAATGTAATTGTATGTATTTAAACATTACGTAGTAAAAAATAAAGAATAAGAAGTCAAATAGCACGAAGCACGCGTCTGTGATTTCTAAATATTTTTAAAATTTTTACCATACTATTTAATATTTTTTATTAATATTTTTACTATACTTGTTTTACATTATATGTACATATATTAGCCTTAATACATACAACTGTCAAAATGCAATAACAGCCGTTTACACGAAGTAAGACACGCAGCGAGACAATCAATCGGCATCGCGGAAAAGCGATAACAATAAACTTCGATAAATGCAAATAATCGACTTTTACATGCCCTTTTTTAGATAGGGCAATTTGCTGTAGCCGATTTTAACATAAATGTCATTACCAAGATTCTGTCAGATGCTCTTCCGGGTTTCATATTTATTATAAAGTTTAACATGTTTTTCTTCAAAACTAAAAAAGTAAGTTGAACTTGATTTTAATTAATAAACCCGATTATCATGAAAGAGATTTTTACTTATATTTGAAATTTCACCTAATTCAAAATTTAATACAGGTAAAACAGATACTGGAAGAAATTATTAATAATCGGCGGATGTTGACAGATGTGCAAGAAATTAAAATAGTAGAACATTATGTTCAACAAGGAAAAAATTTTACAGTTCTTCTTTTAGGTAATAACGATATCTTTATATCTTCCATAAAAAATTTCAGTCTAGTATAGAAGCATATATTATACAGTGATAATATATTTGTGATATTATATTTCTTAAGAAGATGCTGAAGTCCTGTTTTATCAACTGAAATTTCGACCAAATTTGCACGAGATCGAAAATAGAGGCATCTCTTAATTTTTTCTTTAATTTCTTACAATATCTCTTGCCTTATTCAACACGTGTAATGTCTTCATTTAACTTATTGAAACGCCATCTCTTGGAAAATTCGGCACTTACTGCCAGACGCAATTTTTGCTGTCTTTACTTTAGCTTAGTGTACGAATTATCATAAATTACAGTTGTAACGATATCTTTTTTTCTACGCTTTCAATCGAAGTTCAAAAGGTCTGGAATTATTTGTTCCTGTAATCCGAAGGGGGCGAGCTACTTATTTTGTATATATGAGCTACAGAACTTTTATACCACTAAAATGTTTACGTCAGATGACAGTTGTACGACCCGAAAAAAGGTAATTTTTTAATTTTTTGTCATTTTTACTATAAATTCGTAGCTCGCCCCTTTACATTTTACGTCTATTTCAATCCTGTAAAAGCGATTTCAAATCCGTTCAGTCATTTCGGAGTTATCCTTCCAACTGTAATTGTCGGTAATTCCCGACTTTTCAGCATCCTCTTAATAATTATAATGATTTTCTCACATCTGATTTAATATGTTTTAACTATTTTAATATTTTATACTTAAAATGAAAAAAATATTATAATAAACAACATATCTTATATAATTTAGTGCTGCTAATATTGATGTCACTTTTGTTGCCAATGATGGCACTGCTACCAGATATCCTCGATATTGTCCAACCATTAAACGAATCACGTACACATTCTTTATTAATTTTGAGCGAATACAACGTAAATGAAGGAATACAGTATTATTCTTTTTTCGTGTATATTCTTACAAGTATTTTTGTTGGTGCTTTTTCGATGTTAGCCATCGGTACAATGCTTGTATTGGTTGCGTTACACTGCTGCGCAATATTCAAAATTTGCAGGTAAGGAATGCAAAAGGATGTGAATTTTTCTTAAAATGATACAGTAAGAAAATAAATAATTGCGCTGTTCGCGGCTTAACGAAAACTTAATATCATCAGTTGTCGAATAAAACAATCTGTGGACAAGAACGTAATAGCGTACTCTAACGAGAGAAATGTTATCGTCAAAAGGATAATTAGAACAGTGGAGCTTCATCGAAATGCACAGAAGTAGGTATCTAAAATCAAGTGTGACAAAACTACTAATTCTTTGTTTAATAATAACAGGCCCCATTGTTTGATTTCTTGTTTTCAAGGCTTTTTAAGTTGTTGATATCAAGTTTTACGATATCTTTTCTTATTTTGCTAGTAATAGGCATGTGTTCCCTTGTCGTAAATTTATACAGAGTAAGTAACTCCCTCTCTTTTGTAATATGTTTTATAACTTATGCATAATATTTTATTATATTCGTATTCAGCGAGAGACGTATTGGTCTGCGCATATAGGCAGCAATGAAGAGGATTCAGATCTCTATACGTAAATGCGGCGTTTGGGGCGTTTGAGCCCGCACGAATTTGAGCAAGCAGAGAAGGAAATTTTTCAACTGTGCTGTAGACGAAATCTGCACAAAACAAACGAATTTTCATCTGATGAACAGTCTCTCGCTGAATAGAGTATAGTTAACGTTTCTAATCCACTGACATGAGATGTACAATATATTTACGTGTGTGTATGCATGCGTGTGCGTGTGCGTGCACAGAATAAGGCATCCGAAACAAAACACCGAAATATGTCAAAAATTAAATAATAAGCAAAAATGTTTCAGACAAAAGTTATGTGATTTTAAGCGGCCAAATAATGAAATAAAATCAATTTCCTAAAAAATCGATTTTTCAAGACCAGCTTCATATTTTAAATAAAATGATATGATTATTATTACATAATATAATTTCTCCAAATGATTCTACAATATAAGGTAAAGTTATCGAAAAGTCAATACTTTATTATGAGATATTTTATATCTTCATGTCATATTTTGATATAAAAATATGAAATATCTTGTAAAGTATTGATTTCTTCATAATTTCCTATTCATAATTGTATCTTAATATTATTATGCATATGTTTCAAATCAACTTTTGTCTGAAACATTTTTACATATTGAGTTTAATTTTTGACATATTCCGGTGTTTTGTTTTAGATGCCTTACCGTCTATATCTTTACACACACACACACACACACTAGCGCGCGCGCGCGCGCGCTCAAATAATTTTTTCAATACCGATATACATCTCTTACTAAACATAACAATTATTACTTAAATAATTTTGTTACTAATATGTTAATAGTTGCTGTATGAATTAAAATATATGGATAATTTGATTGGGATTTTAATAACAATTGGTTATATTGGTGGACATGAATTGTATATCTTTGGAACTAGTTTTTTAGGACAGCTAATGGTAAATCATGCTGACGAGTTTTTTAACTCAATGTGAGTAGCAATTTTTTGTATTTTTTGTGCAAAACTAATCACAAATTTATAAATTAATATAAGTATCCAACTGGTTTGAAAAATTTAAAATTAAACGAGTAAGTAGCGAGTAAAGTATCAATGAAAGGTCCTTGCACAGGTTTTAGTGCCGGTTAGAATCAAATATATTTAATATAAAATTAATTGCGATACCCCAAACATTTTGGGGCAACATTTTCCACATTGAATCATTATCAGTGCGTGAAGCAAATTCCTATAACTTACATATACTAAAAATCGCTCATAATCATAAATCCGTTGTATCGTTGATCAAGTGGATAAATTAGTCCATGTGTCCCACAAACGAAGATGGAGTTCATTTTTGTGAATAATAAAACTGGAAATATATATCGACATAAAGAACACCACACAATCTGGTACAGATCAAGTACTAAATGCGTGCACAAAAAAATACCTTAAGTCAAAATAATTGCAATAAAACATTAAGCTATTCAAATGAAAGTGTCACAGTGTAGTAATTCATTTTTAAGACCAGAATAAATATGAATAAATTAAAACTCAACGAAATTTAAAGAAGATTAACCGAATTTAAGAAAGGAGTGTAAAAAATATACCTGAAGTCAATGTATAAGATTAAGAACACAGCAAGAACTAGTTAGTTAAACTAATACGGTGTGTGGAAAGAGACGGACAGAAGGAATAAAACGTATAAATACACAGAGGAAAATACCAGAGGAGAGGATAAAAATGGAAAGACCGGAAAGAGAGGAAAAGGAATAGATTAGGAAGGGGACAACGAATTCATTATGATACGCTTTATGTACTGATTCGAGCGTTTTAAATCCGCCATTTTCAATTTTGTAATTCTGTTTCTAAATTTGTAATCAATGAAAACTTCATAGTAATCATTTTTAAGCCGATTTCTGAAGTTTTCGCATTTTAATCGAAGATACTATAAGACATTCGTGACTTTTTCAGTTTTTAGGCGCCATATTTGAGTCGCCATAATGAATTTTTCAAAAGGCCATGTTCAATTTGAAACTGCACAAGTATACGAATATTTTGAGAACTCAAACATTTTCTTCCATTGCGTTAATTTTGGGAAGGAGGGGTGGCTTGCTTGACGCGAAACGTCCCATATATATAAAAGACAATATATTTTACATATAAATATTTTTTTAACGAATTAAATACAATTTTTCTAGATACATGTCACTGTGGTACAAAGCATCTATAACAGTGCAGAAATTATTATTGTTTATAATGCAAATCTCCTCGAAAAGCCTTGTACCGAGTGTTGGTGGTATATACGTTTCAGTAATGGAAAGCTTTACCACGGTAAGATAGCACAAATGGAGAATGCGATGATGACTTTTTATCAACAGGTTATCAGCTTCATTGGATTATTTGTTATAGTTTACGAAGACGTCATTGTCCTTCATGATGGTAATTTACTCCTTACAGTAGTTTCATAATTTAACGCAGAAAGCGTAGTTACTCGTAGTAATAAACACATGGAGAAATTTTTTCCACAGTAGAAAGTAGAAAGATAATTTGATTAAATAAGACAATATTCTCTGCTACTTATTTTCATCAATAAATAATACTTTATTTCATTACATATCGCTTTTTTATTTAATATTTATAAGATTTTACACTTAATAGGTTCTAGCGAATTAGATCTAGATTAATTAAGATTAAATTTTATTTAATAGGCATAACGTTAACGTTTCTTATTTTCTATACCTTCTTTATATCTTATTAATGTGTTTTTTATTGATATTATACTGTTTTAAAATAATTAAAAATATTAAATTAATTTTTGTGACATATGAGTCAATTGCATATTAAAATAGATATATTGATGATTATATTGCATATTAAGAGTGATTAATATTGTTTATTCGTAAAATATTGCTTATTTGTCTATCTTTCAAATTAAAGCACGTTTTCTAATTATCTTAAAAAATATGATTATTACACAATTTTCTACTTATCTCTTACTTATTGTTAGCATATCTTTGTTCTAAAATTACGTTTCTTGATCCATAATTTAATTTCTTTTCTTCACTGATCGGAAACTTGATAAAATGGAGTAACGCAGCGTACAGTAGTTCAAACTTGAATGATAATATCTAATGTTGCTTGCTTATGCTAACTTAGAACATGTATCATGAATTTCATTTTATTTCCTTTCGAAAATTATTACGAGGCATTGCGTAATTTGGTTAATTCGAGCTTATTTTCTTTCTCGTCTGAATAGAGACATAGAAGATAATCGATCGAAATTTTTCTCGTGCTCCACACGTAATTCCGGGTAATTTCACAATTATTATTATTATTATTATTACGCACATCAGTCGCACTGCGACTATCTCTAGCACCTTAGAGAGGGGAGAAACAGGTATTCGTTTGTTATCAAGTGCATATACAGTTTGGCATTCATGGAAAGATGATCGTTCTTGAAAGTTGGTATTATAATCTTAATCGGATTTCTTTATTGATTTGCGGTTTATGGCCTTATCAGAATACGAAATTCCGGTACGTACGAGCTGTGTTCATATTAGGAATAATTGTCTTCTTCGTGATTTCTCAGGTACATGTTAATCTGACTAAAAAAAAGTATTTCAGAATTATAACCATTGCATATATTTTTATCACATCTTTATATTTTATCGTTTTTAGTTTATATTATTGTTTGCGTACGAATACAATTTCAAGCTAGTTTTGAAGATCTGTTCGGACATTTTTCCTGCTATTTTATGTACACTGCAATTCATCGCCTTTTTAATTAAACCGAAAGAAGTGAGTCATTATTCTTCATCTCAGATTTATAGAAGAATTTAAATAAGAATTTAAATAAGAATTTAGTTCGAAAAATGAAGAGATATAATGTAATACCTATATGTTAAGACACACACACACACACACACACACACAAAGATATCATTAATTACATTTATAAACTTGCTTTTTCTTAATATTACTTTAATATTACTTTATTTTGACTATAATTATGCACTTTAAAACTATTTTAGATATGAGTACACAAACAACGAAATATTTTCTTTCTAAAACATTTAATTTATTGTTTGTAAAAGAAATATCGTGTATATTTATAGATGAGAAAATTATTAAACCAGATTTGCGAAGAATGGAAAGCACTAAAAGATTTTAAAGAAATTGAAATAGCAAAAAAATACGGAACGTTTACGAGGCGGCTTACAGAGGCCTTACTCCGTAAGAAACCTCCTAAAAGAGTTCTCTCTGACATAGATTTATAATTACGTTTTTTAGTACAAATCTATTTTAGACAAATATTTTTTGTAAATTCAGGCATTTTTTAGTGTGCGCCTTATTAGGCTGGCTTTTTCTGGCGCTAATGTATCTTATTCCGATTATCATCAATGACGTTGCAGTAGCAAACAAATCTCTCTCAAAACAAGACGGTGACTTAAAGGTGCAATTTGATAAAGAAAGACATATCTACTTATTCCTCATACTTGTCTTCATAGGTGTTTTTGTGATGACAACCACTACATCGATGATTCTAGCTTACATGCGACATATTTGTGCAATGTTAAAAATTACTCGGTAGAATGAAATCTTCGATGTTTGTATCGAATGTTTATCAAAACATGTTATAATTGTGACATGAAGTATATATTTATAGTTATCGTATCGAACATTCATTGGATGGAAACATCTTACATGTATCAATTTCTCAAAAAAATCGCTTGATGTGTCAGAAATTAATTAACGCCGTCAATATTCAACGAAGAACTATGGAGTTGGTATCAGTTTATAGTAATCATTTTTTTTACAATAATACAATACACGCGTATTACAATGAATACCCTCGAACCTTAAATTGAGATTTACTGTAAAAGTTTCAAAAGTTTCAATTATACCAAAGTTTTTCAACTGATGTGCCGCGTCACACTGGTGGCCGCAAAGGATCTCCAAGTGTGCCGTGAAAATTTTAGAGAAAATAAAAAAACTAAAAAATTTAAGAAAAAGTAAAAAAGTAAGCGTAAAAAATATTGGCTCGTTATTTAATGTACCGCGAATTGAAAAGGTTGAAAAACGCTGTGTTACACTCTATACACGGAAAGAACACTTTTGCTAAGATCTGAAAATAATTTTTGTTCAATAATCAAAATAATTTTGTGCGAAAGTCAAAATGATTGCTAGAATATCAAAACGTTTTATAGCAATGCTTATCAGTTTTAACATTCCAACAAATTATTTCGATGATTTAATAAAAAATTAGATCGGAAGAGCAC